GGTACCTAATCAATGTTAAATTAACTTTAACAAAATTGAAGCAAATTTTGTTGTAATAGTTACTATAAACTAATTTAATACAGTAGAACGCCGATTATCCGAACGCCGATTAACCGAATCGCCAATTATCCGAATCGGTCCTAAGCGTAATATAAAAAATTAAAACCAAGTCATTTTTGTTTTGTTCTAATAAGTTGGAACTCGCTAAAGTCCAGCGAGTATGTTAAATACCTATATATATTTATATCAACTGTTAATGGTTGAAAGCTAGAGGCAAGACACTACATGTTTTACTGTTCTTAATTTTGTTTTGCTACTATGTACCTCTATTATTGTATCTAGTATTGTAGAACTGTGTTTGTTAAACGTAATAAAGTTTATTCTATGTGTGGCAGTTCGTTTTTCTTTATTACTTGTCTATGTCCGATTATCCGTATTTTCGATTATCCGAATCGACCCCGGTCCCAATTAATTCGGATAATCGGCGTCCTACTGTATAAAATATTTGTGATATTCAAATGCAGGGTCAGTTATATAGACGTCTCTTTGCCTCAGGGTCCATACCTGCTACATTGCTAAAAGCCCATTCAGAATTGCGCATAGAGTCAAAGAAATGAGGTCTTTCGCATACAGCTATTAGTCATTAAATTTACAAGCTTGCATTTCGAACTGTCATATCTCCTTGACGCATGCGTTTTAATAAAGACCTTATACTAAATTTAAATAATGTCTCATATTGTTTTTGACAACACCATCATCTTACAGAGCTCCGTGAATTGTCCAATGTACCTTTTGGACTGGTTTCGTCCATGATTTTGTTCATGTTGTTATAACTAGGGTATTTAATATTGTTGGTAACAATAATAAATATTTTTTACCTCTGTGGTCATAATAAGACAAGAAGCTGAAGGGTTGATGGTTACATCTCCAGTGATAAGACCCACATCATGAAATTCTTCAGAAAACTCCCTGTATTTCTGGTTAGACAGAGCCTTTATTGGCGTAGTATATATTACCCTCTGCTTGTTTTTCAATGACAATGCTATAGCATACCTGGTTACAAGAGATAAAATAATTAATACCACATTCAACAAAAAATTTGCTTTACATGCATTTCAGCTTTCAAATCTGGATTTCTAATTTGAAAGGTTTCCGAGGGCAATAAGAACTTTAAACTTATTTTTGATGTGATAATGTCTTATAAATCACTACATGTACGAAAAAGTGTGACATCATGTCACAAGTCCTGAGTCACGTTATGTGAAGTCATTTCACATTGGTTCAACATTCTGCAGTGTGTGAGGTGAGGTCGAGGGATTAATTTGACTACGACCCTCCTTCCCCCATCCTCCCTCCTTCCCCCTCGAAGTGTACCTCACCGTAACGGTGCCTTACCGAGGTCCCCATAGCTACACAGGGGTGCTTGGCTCAAATGAACCGGAACAAAGACTCAAATGAACCCAAAAAACTGCCCCAATGAAAACAACAAGGTTGTTTGTCACATAAAATTATCATCCATAACATAACTTCACAGGCAATCATTTTTTTCAAAATTTATTGATTTTGCAAAATTAATAAGAGTTGTGTTAGTGGCAGATTTTAATTCCTCCAGTTTTAGGTGCCTTATGATATAGACAAGTACTTTACTTGACTTGTGAGGCTAGACTGCCATACACAGGTTTTTTAGCCACAATTGCCTGCCAAGAAAAAGTATAAATTGAATAATACCTATATAAAGACCAGGGGGTCAATCGCCTAACGGAAATGCTTTGGGAAACGCTAACGCTTACGATTTTATATTGTTATTTCTAGACGCCTGAGGTTTTCGAATACCTCACGCTCATTTGTTTTAATATTGTTATTACCAATGCAAAAGAAAAAGAAAGAGCGCGAGGCATTTGAATACCTCAGGCGGCTAGAAATAACAAAATAAAATCGTAAGCGTTAGCGTTTTCCAAAGCATTTCCGTTAGGCGATTGGCCCCCAGGCAGCAGACAGGACCTGGTCCGAGTGGAATTTTTGCTAGTAATATTTTCTTTAGATTTAAACATCAAGCAGCTACATGCTTAAAAAAATTATATGTATATAGCTAAGAAGTTTTGATTTGATTGATGAAATTTTATAAAAAGGATAAAATACTCACTCAGCAACTACAGTTTTGCCAGCTGATGTATGGGCTGATACCAACACTGACTGAAGGTTGTCTATACACAATATTGCTTCTTTCTGAAATGGATCCAGAATGAAACTGTACTGTTTAGCAGGCTCACCAGATATAGGAATTAGAGAAGCATACTCATGATTTGGAGGTATAGCCACTTCATGGGTACAACCTTCGTGAGTTTCCAATGTGTGAATAACAATTCGTGAACTCAGTAAATCTAAACTGAAACATTATCATATTATTAGTTATAAATTGTTATTAACAATGGTCCCATACATTGCATTCAAGTAATCTTACTTAATATCACTGATTAATTCTGTTTCATCATCATCATATCTAACTTTTTTGCTCTGCGTTGTATCTGCATATTCTACCTCTTCATGGGGTCTTTTGATTAGGGTACTTGTACCTCCGATAGAACCTTGTGAAGCATCAGTACAGCTATCTTGTGTTTCACTGCAAAGTATTATATCAAATTTATATTACTGCTAAACTTTTCATTCAAACATCAGATCATTTCAATGTATCATCAGCTTATTTAACTGTGATAAAACACACAGTATTAAAAAATAAAACAAATTATGGTTAGCATAACTTAATCATATGCGAAACATGCTTTTTATAATATTGTAAGCAATATAAGGCAGTTTGTGGTGAACTTGAAAGAGGTTATGTTTGAAAAAAGACACATACAGCTTTTTGTCCTCCACCTTTAAATTTGGGAACTGAACTGCTGCTTCATTTTGTGCTGGTTCATCAAAACAATCAAACAAACTATCAATATCTGCCATTATTTCTCAAGAAATTTAAATTTTTGTAAAAAAACATACAATTGCGCACATTCACAGACTACGGGGAACTACAATTGTAGTTCATTCAATTCGAGTTGTCAAAGTCAATGTCACTTTGTTTGTGTCGTAATTTTCACACACAGATTTTTTCCTGGGTTGCGTTCTCTACCAGTTCAATTAATCTGAGTGTGTAAATTGCACGTAAATTGAGCCAACACGATACTCCGTCCAGACTTTCCTGCAGTATTTCAGATGCCATCACTGCATTCTCATGACTAGTAAGTATAAGCAGTATCATCAGCAAATGTGCCAACCAGAACTGAGTCATTAGATGCCAAGTTGGAGGTGTATAATAGGTATAGTGGCGGCCCGATGACGCTACCCTGCGGGACAACAGCTTCAATTTGATGTAAGGATGATATATCGTCTCCTGCATTAACGTAGAAATAGCGTTCCTTTATTTATGATGTTATAAATGTGTAGTAGTTTGCGAATGAATTTCAAGAGATTTTGTGTAACAGGCCGTCATGCCAGACACTTGACGCCTGAGAAATATCCATGAATGCAGCGGTGCAAATCTGTTTATTTTCAAATGTAGTATTGATTTTGTGTACAAGGCGATGAAACCGCTCAATAGTTCCATGCGATGCTCGGAAATCAAATTGATGGTCAGGAATAAATTCAGCTTCGCTTTGCTTCGTGGTTTAAGTCTCTAGTCTCTTTTCACGAACAGCGACTCTAAAATCTTTGAAGGTTCAGGTAAAAGACTAATTGGTCGATATGGGTGCGGCCAGAGTGCACTCAGATTCAGATTCAGATTCAGATTTCGAAAACAAGCGCGAGAAATAAACAGTGTAGTCGAAGGGTACGGCCAGATTGCACTCCTGATTTAGATTCAGATTCAGACTCAGAAAACAAAGCGCGAGAAAAAGCAAGCAACCTGCTTAGACTACACTGTTTATTTCTCGCGCTTGTTTTCAGAATCTGAATCTGACTCTGAATCTGAGTGCACTCTGGCCGCACTGATGTTATGCTTTCAGGAGGTTTGCCCTGTCTATGAATGAGAATAAGCTCAGCTACTTTCCATTGAGGGGGACAAAAACTTCATAACAATATAGCATTATATTAAACAACTGCGTTAGGAACACAAGGCCAATATCCGGATTGATTTTACATTCTATATTTTGTCGTACCTAATATTACTGAGCCATAAAATCCTTATTAATGTAGGGTGTCCGGCAGTGGCGGGGCAAGACCTAAATTTGATGTGGGCAAGACAGATTTCGCGAGGCCCTGTTCTCTGGCGACCTGAAGACGGATTTTGTAAAATATTAAAAGAAAGAAATTCGCTTTTAAGCAATGCATAAAAATTTTTGAGGCGCCAAGCCCCTTGTACCGCGAGGCCGTAGGCGGTGGCCCACGTCGCCCACGCCTTACGCCGCCTCTGGTGTCCGGCTCTTGTACCCAAATGTCGGGCCAAACTGGCTGGTCTGTCCGGCTATTAGGTTTGGCGACTGGCAACCCTCTGCAGTGGTGATTTTGTAAGTAATTCATATTTATTATGCCAAGACATTGGTGTCGATTCTAGCATGATTCTCTAAACCAAGACTTAAATTTGACAGCAGTATATCCTTGTCATTCTCTATACAGAATGAAAAGGAGAGACTGATGTTAAATTTAGTTTTAAGTTTAGAGAATCACGCCAGAATTGGCACCAAATATCCAATAACGAATGGTAGGGAAAAAATTAGACGATTCAAAAGAGTTGTACTATACATGCAATTTGAATAAAGATAGGATTTTGAATTGAATGATATAATATAATTTTTAGCTGAGTAGGTACGTATTACATTATTTTATTCTTCTCACCATACGGTTATGGTGGCACTTCACCCTGGTTATTAGTATTTGCTAATTGTAAACATGATTACAGCTTGCCCTTATCATGCTTAAAAGTAATGAAAAGGACAGACTAATGTCAAGTTTACTAATCGTTTACACGAATAGTCAAGTGAAGTGACGGCATTTATTTATTTTTTCAATGGCAATACTAACAGTGACTCAAAAGGTCACGTGATCGCACGAAGCTTGGGTTTGTGATTTGATTGGCGAGTTTTCGTTTATTTCTTCCGAGAAATACGCTTGTCTCGAACTGAGTCTCTGTGTTGATTACTTGTGTTACTTTTTTTCGCGTGAGTGAAAAACTTCTCCGCAATGTCATCTAAAACAAAAAAAACTGTAACATCATCTTCAAACATTAGTGTGGTGTCATCAGTGCAAAGCCCACCGCAATCAAGCACTCCTGTTGGTAGCCGCCCTTCTAGCTCTGCCGGCCGACCCAGCAGTCCTCTAAGCCCGACAAGACACACGCGACTTCAGGAAAAAGATGCCTTACAGAATCTCAATGACCGTTTGGCTGCATACATTGATAAAGTTCGCCAACTTGAAAGTGAAAATTCAGGTTTACGCCGGGAAATCCAAACTACACAGGAGGTGGTCACACGTGAAGTTTCCAACATAAAAGGAATGTACGAACATGAACTTCAGGATGCCAGGAAATTGCTAGATGATACATCTAGAGAAAAAGCTAAATTGGAGATTGACTTGAAGAGACTTTACGAAGAAAATGATGATCTAAAGAAACGGTATGTACAAATTTGTTATGAAAGCTTTAAATTTTTCGTCAGTAGGTATCCTTGCTATGTATATGTATAATTGCTTGCAAACTATTGATATCTTCCGGTTAACCTTAAAGTTAGGTTTACGTCATCGGCGGCGTTTTAGACCGGGTGCGGTGACGAGCTCGCGCGACCTCGCTTTTACGACACAGTGACATCATAGCTAGATTTAACCTTACCAAAACCTATTACAATACATACATATAGTCCATATACTTCTATGTTTACACATCATATACACACAATAGTAAACTAACAGTTCGTAAACAAACTTATTACTTGGTAGTTCCAAATTTATTCATATAATAAATATATCTATATAACTGAGAGTTTTAAATACAAATACCATATAGGAGAAAGCTGTGATCTATTCTATACACTTTACTACCACCTACAACAAACATGATATATGTTGTTCACATATTACTAATTTATATAAAAATACAGAAATGCTTATATAAACATAACATTATCTTAAATAACTATGTCAAGGTTGAATCCCATTTGTTTGTGCGATGATAATATTTGACAACTTTAGTACAAAGTAGCTGCTCCTTAGTATGTCCTATCATGAAATACCGGGATATTTTTATGTGTTAGGATGGAGTTCTAAATTATATACCAGTTTACTCTGGACAGTACTTTATTCACTACACAGTTAATCACAATTTGTTTTGTTTCGAGAGCTTTTTTGACAGTATATTGCACACATAACATTAATCCCAAAGTAAATTAATTCCTCAACTCAATGAACATAAATTACCAATTTTTTTATTACAACACAAATGTAATTCACATCATGTAAAAATAACTATGCAAACTATGTGTGTAAAAAGAGGAATGAGTACAAGGTTGCTTTTTTAGAGGTTGTTGCTATTCACAACAGTTTTAATCTTGGTAATAAAACACAATTATTTTCCAGGTTTTATACTGATAATGATAAATTTGTTCTCCCCATTTTTTTTGAAAATAATACAAGAAAACTATTTTATAAAAACACTAGGGGCTTCAGTTACATTAACTTTAGGTTTTGGAAAATCCCCCAGGAACCTAAATATTTGTCCTCATAAAAAGTATCCTATGTTTCATTCCAAGTCATAAACTATGTGTGTAACAAATTTCATTCAAATCGGTTCTGCTGTTTTTGTGTGATGAGTAAAAAACATACAAACTCACATATTTGATTCTTATGCATGAATAAACTTTAACTATCAATATTTGTTTCTTAGGTTGAAAACCGCACATCACTCATTATAAAAAACTAGTTTTTACGGGTTAATGCACGAAACTTTATTTATTTATTGACGTTTCGTAGCCTTTACAGGCTTCGTCGTCAATCCTATCTATCAATCCTTAATGTTAGTAATATATAAGATTACACAAGATGTGCATTATAGAAAATACTTGTCCCTGATGAATGTCACCAAGTGGGCAATGAGTAGGTCACCTTGCCTACCTTTTACAGCTGTTCTGACTGAACTTGATAACATCTATCTATTTTAAGTATTTAAGGATACATATGTACTATATATGGATACATACACAGGATAACAAAACCATATTATATTGTTTTTATGGTATCTGTTATCTTTGTAGATTACAGTTGATATCAGCTAATAAATTATTGTTGTATCTTTTTGATTGAATAATTTTTATTTTCCTGATTTACATTTGATGTGTATTTGAAAATTCTATATTAAGACAAAAATTTTGTCACCATACATCTCTGTACAATTAATTTAACTAAAATTTATACCCAAAATTAAAGTCTCATGAAATTTATCACTAAGCCAAACTGGTGCAGCAAGTTCAACCTCTCGAGAGTGCCTGTCCACATGTACGCGCAATTAAAACGCGTTGCGTATTTCATTGCTCGATCATAAGGCAAAGTAAAAACAATCCATTCAAAACACGAATCAATGAACATTTAAACACGATTTAAAAGTGACCCCTGAATCGCGTCATCTTGGCATGCATAGTCGTCGTTCGGCGATCAGCGCTTGTACACTCAATGTTGGTTTCTGCTTCTTTACATCCTCCTCCACGTGGTGACTTAGCAACTTAACATCACTGAGTGCCTATTAAAATATAACTTTTATTTTATCCAGTGTTATTCAATATGTATTGCGATTCTTTCGTGTCTCCCTATTATTATTCTCATAACGTTAATGAAAAAAAACCGCTTTCTTTGCCTTCAATATTTATACGCGCGTGGGATTTAATCCTACCTAAACTTAAACGATGATATCATTGTCATTGGTATTCTAAATATGCTACCTCGATCACTCTGCCTAATATTAGGTGCTTACTTAATCTTTTCTTGAACTGACTGGACACCACAATGTCGTCAGCGTGTTTACGTCACTCTCGAATAAAATTATTGTTTGCGTAACAAACTTTACACGGTTCGCTAACATGAAGCCCCATATCATTTGAGTCGCCCCATTTTATTTTCGGCAGTCGTGTATGTGTCAGGAAAGTGGGTCGCCCGGCTTCCCCTTTCTTTTAAATGATCGGTGATCACGAATTTGTCTATGGCATATATAAATCGGCCAAGGCTGTAATGCGGGCGGCCCCCGCGTCGTATCGTAGTTATACGAGGGTCGGGAATTGTGTACCAATACATGGCTATTTTAATGGTACGATCGCAGTTTCGAAAGCACGCGCGGGAACCGGATAGTGTGGCGTGCTTGTGTTTACAAAAACATTCCATACTTATGTCGCCGCCCGCGTTGCGCAAGACCGCGCGCCTCTCATAGCAACACACGGCATCGACTTCACCTCGAGCCGGTGTCATGGTTTCGAATTTTCATTAACGTGACTTCAAATTTCGTATAACTACCTTGATATATCGGCAATTTACTTGTCTGAAACAAATGATCAGTCCAGGATACAAGATACCTACTACAAGTTTTAAAAATAATCAAGTTCATATTAACGAGTGATACCTATATTGTAGCGATTTCTATTTCAATAAGCATTTTCATTTATTTGTTATCTTTTTTTTACATTAGGTTTGACTGTATTACGTCCGCTTATTATAACACTTCTGAGCCAGGTTTCTCATGATAGTGTAAAACGGTTCCAGCTGAGCTTTTGGGATTGATGTGCTTACTTACGTTACGATACGCAGTACGGCTTGAGATTTTGCGATTCACGAAAAATTATTGAACTCTGTAAGAACGTAAAGCAACCGCTCTCCGCCTTTGAGATTTCTACCACTAACATTCTCATTTTAACATCTTCCTCATCAGCCTATTAATGTCCCTACTTCTAGATTAAAAAGCCTTCCCATGGATGGAATAGAGAGAATGGGCTAAAAAAGACCCGCTACGCGAGATCAACGGCTTACGTATGCCTTCCAAAGTTCGGAGATAATAAATACCGTTTCAGAAGTTGCTTTACTTCTTCCATGATCGCAAACCGAACGCGCTAACCATTTCGCCATCGAGAACCTCATATAGTGAGGTTTAAATTTGTAGTGGGGTTATAGTAAGGTTTAAATAAAGAGCTTTTGCCTCTGTTTATACATATTATCGCCACCAACAACGTTTGATTTCTTACTGTGAACTGTATACAGAAATAGATACAGAAACCGTTGAATTCGCCATGTGTGGGACCTGGGAACACAAGCTTTACATGGACTACTGTCTACTTATTTCTCTTATCTATATAAGTCTATATCTTATCTATATATATCTATCTATAAAAGTAAAAAAAAATATTAGTGTCGCTACTGACGAGTAAAAGTTCATCGAATTAAACAAGTATACAAATAATTTTTCAACAATTTCTAGCGTTACAGAAGTGTATGGGAGTAAAATTAAAACAGTCATTCTATCACTCTATTTTTTATGTTTACCTTGAGGCAGATATTTATATTCGCCAGCATTTGCCTACAATGTTCACGAAACTATTAAACGAGAATTAAATGAGCTGTAAGATGATAAATATAATGCTGCACTGCTTGCACGTTACCACCAACTATTACCAATATCCTTCGAAGTTTACAAACGGCGCGGCGAGAGAAGCATTTTTTATATTATGCGGAATATTTTTCCCCCAACTTTATATTTAGTGATTTAGTTCTGTTTATAATAACGATAGTTTATACGCTCTATATAGGTAGGAAATAGCTTAGAAAGAATCGACGTTTGCTACACATGTTGACCATGTTGTACACATATGAGTTTACTAGGTACATATAAAACTAGCTCCCAGCGAACTTCGTACCGCCATAAAAAATAGGTATATGTATGATTTATCACAAAAAAAAATTTCATTAAAGAATTTCCCGAAAATCGGTCGTGCCGTTTCGGAGTAGTTCAATTACGCACACCGTGATACGAGAATTTTATATATTAGATTCAATAATGAAAATAAAATCTCCCACACCCGTTGGACATTCGTTCCGATATAGGATGTAACAAACAAACAACCGAGCAGCGTCGGTAACGCGCTAATAACTGGCATTCAATGTGGCTAGGTTTTTTACAAGCTTTTATTTAGTTTCACCTGGTACACATAAATTTTCATCTATAATTGCTGTCGCGAAGCTCGATGGCGCAGTGATTAAGGCGCTTTGCAGACGGCGGGGCGAAGCGGGCCGGTCAATTTCGCCGCGAACGATTGCACAAAGTGAATCCTATACTACAAACGCACACAGAGGGCAAAAAGACCGCGCCGCAGGTGCCCGGCGAGTACTAGCGGCGCGGCATGTCCGCGGCTGCCCGCCTTGGATCATACAAACCAGTTTATATGCAGTAACGCAGACGGCGGGGCGGGCTCAGTCCGCGCCACGCGCTTTTTAGTGATGGACGTCATCGATGTAGATGATTTAATTGCTGAAGTGCAGAAAACATCGCCCATATATAACACGTCGTTAAAAGAATATCACGACGTAAATGAAAAAAAGAAATTGCTATTCACTAGAACGATCGTCCTGAACTGACTGCCTCTGCCCGTCGTGTGCTTTGTGTACGCGGCGAGGGCAGCCGCAGACATCGACGGGCAGACGCGGTTTTTATTGCTTCGCGGACATAAAGCCCGCCCCGCCCAGTCGTCTGCAAAGCGCCTAACGCGTTCGGTCGGCGATTGTAAAAATGAGGCAACTGTTGCCATGACCGGTCATATAATAGGTGACCAAGAATTTGGTACCTCGAACCCGTCTGTTCTCTGCAAGGCACGGTAAACCATTGGCTTCGTCGCCATGTGCAGTTTTTAATTAGCACATACCACTACACACCGAGCCGTTACGGTGCGTCATGATCCGCTCTCCCTATTCCGTTCATAACTAATCCCTATCCTGCTAGTCTGATTCACCCCTAACCTGTGATTCTGATTCATGACGATCTGATGAGCAAAGGCGGATAGAATTGTAATTCATTAGTAAGTTTTTTTTTAGTTGATTATTATTTCAGACATGTGGCTGAGGGATCCAACGACCACGAATAACTAGCGAGAAAGTATTCGTATCGCATCGCCATCGTATTCGCCATTTCTATAGAAACTAGGCATCGCCCCTACCGAACGCTAGAACGGACTAGCTCCTTCTATAGAAACTGACGATAGCGATACGAATACTTTCTCGCTAGTTGTTCGTGCTCATCCCTGTGCAGAAAAGCTCCGCATTCAGTTAAAATCGAATCCGTACACGCAGCCGCAGAAAATAACATTGTTTTTCTTTCTTGAACCTATGTACACATAGCGTCTCTTCAGGCTTTGCAAAACTGATAATGTTCTCTAATTCTATATCAAACCTTTTTGATGAGGTCATGGTATTCGAAGTAAAATCTATTAGAGAATATTAACATGTTGTAGTAACCTAACGTGCTGTTGATTGTGCGGAAGCATATCTGTACACATAGAACTAGCTCATTGAATTAACTGCCCAGATTATTAAACGCGAATATATTATTTTTATATTAGGTAGGTACATCATAGTTACGATTTTCGAGCCATTTAACCTTTGTGATTCCAATCTTGTAACTGCTAATTTAACGAGTAAACATACAATTTACGCCCTCTGTGACCCGAGATAAAGTTATATAGATGGAATAGTATTTTATTCGATAAAAAATTTTAGTAATTTTAGACATACTCTATAAAATGTCTGTTATATGTAGGAGTTCTATTTAGCTCTAGTGTTCTTATTCTTATGTATTTTAGTTATCCTTTATTGTTTACAGCCTGGATAAGAAAACCAAGGACTGTCAACAGGCGGAGAACTTGGCGCGCCACTACGAAACTCGCTTTACGGAAGAGAGTAACAAATACAACACAGCACTCGCGGACAAGAAGAAAGCTCAAGATGAAGCTAGGGTACGTACCAAACGCGGTAACATGATAGTATTCCAATAGCAATAATCCTTCTACACCACTACTCTCTTATACACCTTTATGTTACAACTAGCGATCGCCCGCGGCTTCGCCTTCATTAACAGTAGTTATTTGAAAATCCCTAAGGAACCTGACACTTGTCCGGGATACTTTAAACTCTATGTGCATCAAACTTCATACAAATCCATTCAGTAGTTTTTGCTTGATTGAGTAACAAATATACAAACTTTCACATTAAAATATTAGTAGGATTACATCGATCGGAAGTCGGGTCTAAGTTGCTTAATTAGTAAAAAAATTGTATCTAACTTGGTCAAAGTTTATCTCTCTAACGGCCATAATCGTAACTAGCACTCGGTCCCCGTAGCATGAGCACCAAAGTTTACATTATATCGGGTTTTTTATCGCGTCCTAACCTGTCTAACTCCATAGAAATTGGACAATTGAGCGTGATAAAAACGCGTTATATATCATATCGCGGTGGTCATGCTAGGGGGACAGGTTTTTACCCGTAAAAGCGGAGATAGTTATTTTGTCTGTTCTTCTTGTCAGCTAAAAGATGTCCTTAACAAGTGGTAGGAAAAAATGGACGATTCAAAAGAGTAATTAATAAATCAACTTGAATGAAGTTTATTTTCATTTCACTCAGATATATAATTTAAAGTCACTTGTTATCTTATTATAATGCTTTCGCAAAGAAAGTGACAGTGCACTAATGTAAAATATTTTACGTCATATTTTATTATCATAACACACAGGAACTTGCCAAAGAGTTGGAGAAACTGCGCAAGGTGTACGCCGACACCCGTAAGACTTTGGAAGAGGAGATGTTGTGCCGCATCGACATGGAGAACACGGTGCAGAGTTTACGCGAGGAGCTCTCCTTCAAGGACCAGGTGTTCCAACAAGAGCTGCAGGAGACCCGCACCCGGAGACAAGTCGAGATCTCTGAAATCGGTAAGTTTAATCTGTACTTATCGAAGTGACTAAAAATATCCAATGTAAAACAATTCTTGTCTTCCAGATTAGCTTTCAAAGTTTTAACTCTCATTCCTTTGTATAAACAACAAACCCGTAAATTTTGTAAAAATTAAGAATTCTGGTAGTTTCGTATATTGTGGAAAATCCATTACATGTTTATTAATCAATGTTTATGCGTACTTCATACCTACCCACTTGATGTGTGTATTTTGTGTATTATCTACATTTCAAATTGTAAGTGGTCGTTTGCTGTCAACAATATAAAAGTTAGCCAAAAGGACGGCTTCAATAATTATCTAAACCTGCCGCTATTGATATAGACACGTGTCGCTGGTTGAGCATAAATTCTGCTTGTAACAGTACCCCTAGCACGAACCATTATCGTATTCGAATAGTTTGCGAGTGTCAATGTCAAATTTTGTATGGAAACTTGAACAGTAGCGCTACAAAGTACGTAACGAGAACTAAAAATCAGTACCCTTAGCACGAACCAATATCGATCGTTTGCGAGTACGAAATGTCATTGTCAAATGTGTACTGATTTTTAGTTCTCGTTACGTATGTTATGGCGCTGCTGTTCAAGTTCGCATTTCGCACTCTCAAACTATTCGAATTCGATATTGGTTCGTGCTAGGTATACTGCATGAGAATGCTTGTTAACATAATGGAAATGTGGGCATGATAGAAACTACGTTTTCTTCGGAGCCAACTGTTACTCTGGGTCATTTAAACTGGATTTTTCATCTCAAGATCTTGTCAAAAGCGTAGCTTAGGTAAAATATTAAGAAAAGAATGAACGCTGAATAATAATAAAAAAAAAATGTATTATCATGAGTATTCCAATTTGTATACCTACAATAACAAGGGGTACTTTTAAATCCTATACCTATAGTAGAAGGTAAATTTTGGAATAAGGATGATGTACTCCGGTTAACATCAACGAAAAGAACATTAATTTACTATGTTTTGTTTTTTGTATAAAGGCGATAATTTTAGCCTTGAAATTTGTTTTCGATGAATTAAAATCCTGGAAGCCTTCTCGAAGTTGTAACGACCATTGCATGTTTGTTCCTTTTTACCGTTCTATCGATTACGTGACCTCACCCGCGCAAGGCCACACTGTCACGTTATCTTAAGCGACTATCCAGTGAAATTTTGGTACGTATATATGACAATACAGAGATGGACCAAGGTTTCTTCCATACCTCGAAATCGACTGGTTCTCCACTAGTAGTCGTAGTTAATAATTAACGAAACCTTAAACGTTTTATACCAGGATCAAAGGAGATTGCTCAGCTTCCATACATGTTTGGCCTAAAGACCAATAATCATGAAAATTGTTTCCTAGATTCGGAATTATATATAAATTACTGTAGAAACGAATATTATTGACGGACACCCCCGAGAACTTCTATAAACCATATACGCTGAACATATTAAAATAATAAAAAACAAATAAGTTATATAGTAAACTAGGGAAATCAAGCCAAGTACCGAAATTATGGATTAGATTCAGGTATATAGAGCATGTAGTTTATTAGATAGTTGCCTGTTTTTAAAGTTAATGCATAAGAGTAATTTTTAAAATCAGGTGTCATCTATGCATTTCCGGTTATAATAAGGTACTCTGTGACAGAAACTGTGAGGATTGTGAATGAGCCACAGATTAGAGAGAATTTTTAAACTCTCGTTAACCAAAGAAAGCTAAGAGATTTAGGTTCTATAGCCATATATTCAGTAGCTTCATTATTTTTGTTATGTTTTTAAGATAACCATATTTTAGATTTTTCGGGTATCACCTTATAATTTTATTTATTTTTTAACTTATAGTCAGGCAACGTAGGCCCATACCTTAAAGTCTAAACAGATTATAATGTGTTTATGGAGGTGTTTGGCGAAAAATGTATGGCAATAGACTTTATGATGTCGGTCGGCTTCTATATAAAATAATGGTCTGAGCACATTTGCATGTAGTGAAAATGATAATATAGTTGTGGATATTAATACCACAGTGTAATAAAAAAAATATGATTTATTTTATCTATCTTTACAAAATAGATTTGTTTTTATGTTATATAAACAACTTCGATCAGTCTTTGGCTGAATGTTACTACACCCATAGCCATTAAAAATGATTCGTATGTTTTCCAAACCGATAAAATTAAAAGTCCTTTTTAAAGTAAATATAAATATTAAACAAAGGTGTCCGTTAAAATCTAATGACTGTAAATTAAATTATAAATTACGCCAAGAATTACCGTGTATGTCAATATTTTTGTGCATTTGGGCCAATTTGAGCAATCTCCTTTCTTTACCGGTTTTTTATTCAAGGCATTTTTAATACCTACTCAGTTTATTTATTAAATAACCTAGAGAGACTTGGTATTCGGTAACTCCAGTGTACACGGTACATCCCTGCTTACTACAGAAGTAATATAAAAACCTTGAATTTTATTAAACACGGAACTTCAAACATGCAGTTCTAATAAATTTAAAGTGCCTTTTGCTTAATGCGACTAAAAACTCTTTAATTTAGACGATACATTTTAAAGATCAAACAAAAGCTAAGAATATTGTTATATTTATTATCAACATCGATTTTAGTGTGCATCTTTAAGTGTGGATTGTTCGATGTTACTAACACATAGATAAATGCAGGCATGACTAATAACTTCGTGAAAAATGTGTTTTCAGATATATTTTTAGCCATAACATGTGTTGTTTGTGCAGTACGACTTATTCTAGTTTAATGCGACTGGGACTCTCAAACAAAAAGTTTCATACCATAGTTTTATATTAAAAAGGCACATATTTAAATGAACAACCTAACCTTTAGGTTAACAATTGCATTTATAATTTTTGGAGGATAATTTAAATATTCCACTATTCAAAACTGCATCGAATAAAACAAGTGGAAAAAATCACATTTCATGCATGGAGACTCCGCGATTGTTTTTTTTATTTTATTTCAATCTTTTTTGACTGTCATCGTAACTTTAAAAACGGTAACTTGCATTCTATATGTTCTGTTCATAAGAGATAAACAAACAGCAGCGGCATATTAATATGGTTCCTTTATCACCCTATGAGTACCCTCTATAATCAGCAAGAAAATTAACTGCTGGAACCTTCAAACTTAGATACTATAAATGAAAGGAATGTGAATTACGTTCTAAAAATAATAAAGTGTTATACAAACTGTAGTACGTATGCATTTCTTTTTAAACTCACAGTAACAATGCGATTGGCAGAAATTTGTAATAATAATAATCCGAAAATAGAACACATAAATTTTCAAGTGTCTGTTCTTTTGTTTTTTTTGTGAGTTTCATTTTCATTTATTTGCATTTTTTTGTTAATTTACTTACCATGGCTTATCAAAAATCTTTCTCTATCTCTAACTTTCTTTCATTATTTAAACACATATCAAGAAGGTTTGTCTCTATCAGTATATCTTTTGCGGTACCACCGCTAAGCTAATGATATGTCTTTGTGGTTCATAAAGTAAGCTTACATTAAATCTATTTTATTTTGATGCGCCATGGTAAGTAAATTAACAAAAAAATGCAAATAAACGAAAATGAAACTCACGAAAAACAAAAGAACACAGGCTTGAAAATTTAGGTGTTCCATTTTCGAATTATTATTACAAATTTCAGTCAATCGCATTGTAACTGAATTCAAAAAGAAATGCATACGTACTACAATTTGTATATCACTTTATTATTTTTATCACGTTATAAGACATTCCTTTCATTTAAAATGCTAAGTTATTTAGCAAAACATAATCCTTATGGTTAACCCTTTCGATGGTTATCATTAAATACGTCGTGTTTTTTTTTTCAAAATTTCACGAGTTTGATTCCCAGTTGTAACAGGCGATTTTAAAAAAATCTGTGAATGCAGTTCTAGTTATTATTAAGAATAAAATGATGTCTTCTTTCAGTAAAATATCCTATCTTCAATATTTAAAATACTTTCCCTCCGTGTGAGGTAGCCGTGGGACGCCCTGTATACATTCACTAAGCTTCTTAATCACAAAGTAAAGATAACATTGAGATTGTGTTGTGATTAAAATAGTTATTAAACTAACTTTGTAGTACACAGAACTGTAGTGCTGAGCTGACTCAATTTATGAGTAATGATATCATTCATAGTAATATATAGAACACTAATTATAGTATGTTTTTGATTTTCCTTGAAATGTAAATTGTTGTTTTCAATTCAATGGCATGGAAAAACATTTACATTAAATTCTTGATAATGTAAACTATGACATATCCCTGTCTAGTGACAATAACAAAATTGAATCAATTACTACTATTTTTATTTAATTATTGGCTTATGAACGCTTATTAACACTAATTCAAAGAAATATTTTGATAACCTTAGTAACTAAGTGTGATAAACAATTACAGGTAAACAATTCATGCAAGAATCTATTATTTTCTTATAATTAGAACTACTAATTTTCTTCCTTAGCTGCACTTTAAGTAGCGAGGTTTCAACGTATTATTCAGAATATTTTATTAGTCTAGGATGTTACAAGCTCTTGTGAAAGTCAAACGCTATGCCATCGGCTCGTAATTTTACGACAGGAGACCTTGTACTGATAAGAACCGGCAAGAAACTCAGCAAGGGCTATATTTTTCTCTCTGTTTTGTTTCATACAGTATCATCGTCCATTGAAAGATGACATCAAAACCTGAAAATATGCATTGATGTCAAGTTTCATTACATTCATATTATAGTTAACAATAACATAATATTAAAAAATTGGTTGTCCGTAAAGTCGGTTTACGTACCATAATTTTACGTGATAATGCGTCATTAGCTGTTTTCTTCGGGGCTTTTTGTCCTGGTTCGTTTGAGCCCTAGAACGCTTCTGTAGCTTTATGGGGCCCGTGTTAGGCTCCGCGGGAGTGAGATCTCTTCGAGGGGGGGTCCGGGGGGGGGACTCCTCACAATCGCCGCAGAACTCTGAATTAACGTGACTCTGACTCGTGACATGACGTCACAATTTTTCGTGCGTGCAGCCGCTGTAAATCTATTTATTCTAGTTATCTATTCACACACCGATGATTTCTAATAGACATATTTGTTTTCAGACGGGCGCCTCGCTCAGCAATATGAGGCAAAGCTACAGCAAAGCCTGCAAGAGCTGCGTGAACAACAGGAGGCCAACATCAAGGCCAACCGCGACGAAATCGAGGCCCTTTATGAGAATAAGGTAAACAAGTGAAGTCATTTGTGACTCATAATTTTGTCAATCCATTAGGTGTCGCGTTTTCTGTATAAAAGATTTTTGTTGAGATTGACAGTAATATAACTGTCGTATTTTTATCATAAAGGGATATTTTTATAGTAGGGTTTTCTGGAGCATAATACAGCACTGACTAGAAAATTTCTTTACAAAGCAATTAGTACCATATTATGGTCGTAAAAACAGTGATAGAATGAAGTTTGATCAAACTGAAAACTTAATTATTGACTTTGAATGCGACCGTTAGGGCCGCAAGTTTCCCAAAGCAGTATGATTTGGAATACTATATCTCTACCCATATTATTGAATGAATATTTGAAATCTATGATTTAACCATTTAGATGAAGAACTTGCAATCGGCTGCGAACCGCAATAGTTCGGCAGCGACGGTAGCTGTAGAAGAGTTGCGTACTATGCGTACGCGCATCGACTCTCTCAACGCTACACTCAACGATCTGGAGAACAAGAACGCAGCCCTAAGCGTGAGTAGATTTCAACGACTCATCAATGAGTTATGCATTTTTGTATAAAACTTAGGTCGATATGTTCTTTTAATGTATCTACACCATGCTTTAAAAACGCTATTAAAGATCCTAAAACAGCTAGCTTACTGCCAACGTTAAAACATCCAATTAGTTATAATGAATTAAAAAAAAAAGAACTTTGTTTCTTAGGTTTTCACGCACATCACTCATTAAATAAAACTAGTTTTTACGGGTTAATGCACGAAAACTTTATTTATTTATTGACGTTTCGTAGCCTTTACAGGCTACGTCGTCAGAATAAAACTTTTATTTAATTTGTCGAGCTACCTTCGAAAGACTTTTATTGAGCGTTTGGTTATTTCATTGTTCGATTTTTAAGTTTTATTGTCTATGTATGAATTTATTATTTAATTTACTTAATAAAATATTTTATTTAAAATTCTTGTTCGTAATTTTGAGTTTATTTATTTGACCCTATCTACCGTAAAGTACCACCGGTTCCAAAATTGGGAGACCTTCCTGAGAAGAACCGGCGAAACAAACTCAAGAGAGGCTTTCTATCTCCTTCTTATGTTAAATTATGCAAACAAAAAGAACTAATAGTATCTGATGGTCTTGCAGTGTGTGCTCGGGGTTGGGATTTTATCTCCTGTATAATAGTTTCCCAAGCTGGTGGTATATACCAACCATCTTCCCTATTGAAATTTGGATATTTTTTAATCTCAATAGCCTCGCGCATCATTCGAGGAACGAACCGCCGCTCAGCTGCAAGGATCTGTGGTCTATCAAATCTAATGTAGTGGTTTGGTCCCCCTAATGCATGTTCACACACTGCATATTTGAAATAAATTTCAGGCGTGAAAATAAATTAAAAAAATCCAAATTTCAATAGGGAAGATGGTTGATATATACCACCAGCTTGGGAACCTATTATACAGGAGATAAAATCCCAACCCCGAGCACACACTGCAAGACCATCAGATACTATTAGTTCTTTTTGTTTGCATAATTTAACATAAGAAGGAGATAGAAAGCCTCTCTTGAGTTTGTTTCGCCGGTTCTTCTCAGGAAGGTCTCCCAATTTTGGAACCAGTGGTAGTTTACGGTAGATAGGGTCAAATAAATAAACTCAAAATTACAAACAAGAATTTTAAATAAAATACTTTATTAAGTAAATTAAATAATAAATTCATACATAGACAATAAAACTTAAAAATCAAACAATGAAATAACCAAACGCTCAATAAAAGTCTTTCGAAGGTAGCTCGACAAATTAAATAAAAGTTTTATTCTGACGACGTAGCCTGTAAAGGCTACGAAACGTCAATAAATAAATAAAGTTTTCGTGCATTAACCCGTAAAAACTAGTTTTATTTAAAAAAGAACTTTGTTATTCACGCGCGCTTCTCTACCAAAGCGCCGAAACTTTTCATGAATTTTAAGTTCTTAGATCGTCCCATTGTTTCAGAATCTTTAATAGAGAATTCATATCATGGCTGTAGATAAAGTCTTGTATGCAACTGCTATAATTAAGTATTAAAACACTCATGTGATACTATTATCCAATCAGCTTCGCCTTGTTTGATAAACCCACATTCGTGCTTAATACTCCTCAATAAACAACAGTTGCATAAATAACTATTTTTACTCACAAAGAAATTTTATTTATCAGATAATGTATATCTGCTGTCGCATAATTAGTTTTATGAGTAATAAAATTGCTTGGGTACATGTCTGCCTGTGACGTAACACATTGTGTTACCGCTTTTAGAATTACAATTCCACCGAAAGCTCCATGAAGAAACTTGGCCACCACACCATACAAAGAAGTTTACCGATATAGCCAAGCCTTTCTTAACCTTGACATTGACAGAATCATCGTGCAAAACAATGGAGTCATAATACACAAAATGGAAGTGGGGTAGTAAAGTATCATTGATAACTAATGGAAACGATGACGAACGGTTCCGGAATGAAATGATTGTGTATGGACTATATGTGTGGTCGGTCATTGGATGGGTGACCAAAAATCTCTTCTATCTTGAGTTCCTCCGTGCTTCGGAAGGCACGTTAAGCCGTTGGTCTTGGCTGCATCTGCAGTCGTTAGCACCCGCCAATCCGCACTGGGCCCGCGTTGTGGATCACGGCCCAATCTCCATCATTCTCTCCACTCCAGCATTGAGGACATTAATGGGCTGATGATTATGACTATATGTTTTATTTATTTCTCTCATGTTCACGTCTGTTATGAATAAATGCTTTTTTGCTAAATAGAATCGTTGCCGCGAACTGGAACGCCAATTGGAGTCGGAACGCGCCCGCCACGCCGAAGACTTGGCATCTCTGGAGCAAGAGTTGGCCCGCCTGCGAGACGAGATGGCGGCACAACTGCGAGAATACGCCACCCTCATGGACATCAAGATATCTCTGGACCTCGAGATCGCCACGTATCGTACGCTCCTCGAAGGAGAGGAGGACAGGTCGGTACACACTTTACTTGTACTTTTTAATGCGAAATAATAATGCGCAACTGCGAGAATAGGCCACCCTCATGGGCATCAAGATATCTCTGGACCTCGAGATCGCCACGTATCGTACGCTTCTCGAAGGAGAGGAGGACAGGTCGGTACACACTTTACTTGTATAAGTAGTCCTCGTACTTACGGCATGATAGGTTCTCGAAATACGCGACGTAAATTGAAACGAGACATTCCCACGGACATTGACCTCGCGACAGGTGAATTCTCCTATTTCGGAAATCGAAACAATTGACGTAATCTTGAGGAATAGTGTCAAAACATTGTTTGACGTAACTTGAAACCACGTAAGTCGAGGACTGCCTGTACTTTTTAACGCGAAATTATGTTTTTGTCCGAATATAAGGTATTGAATTTATGTAATTTGAAACACTAACAAAATAAGTTATATTACACAAATCACTATTATAGTACCTGAGTTTATGTCATCAAGGTCCAGTAAAAGATGAGGATAATCTGGTTCCGTTACTTAACAAATTCTAACCTTTATTAGAGGTTTATTACTAAAACCAGCCTATAGAAAATAAAGATTATGTATTCTTCCAGTGGCAAACAAAGCATACATCATATTTAAATTATACCCAGATTTTAATGGCCTATTTGACAGTATGGAAAATTATGTACCAGTTGTTGGCATCTGTATTTAATATGAATATTAGCAGTGATTTTACTATTCTGAAAGAACAATTTATTAATAACGTTTCTAAAAAAATATCAAATAGAAATGATTTTTTGCTCCGTGGTCACGTGACCGTAAACGCCTGGTATTGGCCAAGATTGAAATAACGTCACGTATACTCACGGCCAAAGTGACATTACATTGTATCGTTTGACGTTTTAATGACAGTCGTGTGACGTCACACACTAGTGAGACGCCATGGTCCAGAGAAACGTTTTCGCGGCAACTTAAAAGTTTTTTTTACTGAATTACACAACAGAATTAAAATCATCCACTTTTTATGGACTAAATAAACATCAGTAAATAATGTGAGATTTTTTTTCTAAAACTTGTTAAATACCCTATTGTATTTTTTTTATACCTCCAGGTTGAATCTTACCGCGCAGTCCCCCGGCCGCGAATCTCGGGCCTCGGCCAGCGGTAGCGCAACCCGCCTCACCCCCGGCCGTAGGGCTACGCCCCTACGCGCCGCCCGTAAGAGGACCTTATTAGATGAGAGCGAAGAAAGAAGCCTTCATGACTTCAGCGTCACTTCCAGTGCTAAGGGAGACGTGGAGGTAGCCGAGGCCTGCCCCGAAGGCACCTTCGTCAGGATCAGGAATAAGGGCAAGAAGGTACGTACACCAAAGCAAAATGCTTTTTCTCCATCTTCACTTGCAACGAAATCTTCTGCTAAAGCAACATCATTAGTAAGGACATTTTTGGACACCATGCAGTTGGGCTTTGCCACCGCCATTAATCCTTATTTTTTGTTTGAAAAGCATTATAAAACAAAATCTGTCCACATTGTGATAAGATAACAATATACTTATTTTATAGTAATATAAGTTATTTACGGGATTGTTACCATGTACCTTGTTTTTAGCGAGTTTCCGATATTTCGGCACTGTTGCAAGCGCCATGATCACGGAGTAACTGAAGTAATTGCGGGTAGGCTGTTATTGGCAGACATATCGGTCTACCCTCCGACGAAGTCTTTTATTGCGACCCGTACCACTGTTCACATTCTCACTATTCACTCGAAACTGTTCTCGACACACAACACTTACAGTATCGGATCGCGACACGACACTTTTTTGATTATTTCCGGTTTTACACATACGAACCACAGGATTCCAGACAATTTAAACCCGTCCTCACGATTGAAATTTTTATGTTTTGTTATTTCAATCGCTTCCCTGACCAATCTTGGTATGTAGTGGCGTTCTGTCGAGATAATCTGTGGGTTATGAAACTCAATCCAGTGGTTAGAACCAGAATCAATCAAATGTTCCGCGATGGCTGATTTCTGCGTATCGTTGTTCTTGATTGCTTTTATGTGTTCCCTCATTCGGCATGATACTGTTCGCTTTGTTTGGCCAATGTACGAACTGCCACAGCTGCAATCGATCTTATAGACACCAGGTTTCTCCAAGGGGAAGTTGTCTTTAGGAGACCGTAGGTATTGTGAAACCTTTCGCACAGGAGTGAAGACAGTGTTTAGTGAGTACTTATTCAGTATGTTTGAGATCTTGTCAGTCACTCCTTTGACGTATGGTAAATAAACAGGTTGTCTGTCTACTCTGTGTCTCTGGTGTCTTAGTTTGTGTCTTGATGGAAAATGTCCCTGGTATCCATTACTCTGTAAGACTCGTCGTACATGCTCCAACTCTTCTTGAAGATGTTCCTCATCACACAGGTCATATGCACGGTTCGTCAGTGAAGTCATTACAGAGTTAAGATGTTTAGGGTGGTGATGCGAGGAGGCGTTGAGATAGCGGTCAGTGTGTGTTGATTTGCGGTAAATGTAAATAACTTATATTACTATAATGTTAGTGACCATGAAAGTTTAAAACAATATAATATACTTATTACTTGAAAAGAGAAATAAAATTAAAACTATTCCTTTCCCATACTCTTTTGCGACCGAGTTTCGACTAAAAAAAAGTTATTTCGCTCGGTAAATGGAACGCTCGGAGAAAGTGTTGCGTCGTTTCCATTGGTGATCGAGCATGTGAACATTCGATCACTGAGTCCAGTGAAACATCGTTGAAGATACTCGTTCGCTCTCATTTTGTTGTGTCAGGTCGCTCAGAATTGTTCTGAGCAATAGGTAGGAATAGGAATTATAATAAACGCTGCATTATAATAAACCATTAAAAATCTAATCTTTCGAAATCTTTTTTTTTATAGCGAGGTAGGCAAATGACTCTATCCCACCTGATGTTAAGTGGTGATAAAGTCCAAACGCGAAGATAGCTGGTACAGCATTTATAAACTGCTACACCAACCATCCTCACCTTGCCGGCCTGCGAAAATGCTTCTTCACGCCACTTAAAGGACCCCGTATTATAGGAAGGAGGGAACACGTGCTCGGGTAAAGAATTCTACTTAACAGGAACTCCGTCTTAACAGGAAATGAGCCTCGGCGGCTACCAGATAGTGCGCAAGGCGGGCGACCAGGAGACTGTATTTAAGTTCCACCGCACCGTACAGTTGGAGCCGGGCCGCTATGGAACCCGCCATTAATCCCATTCATTCCCTCTCATTTTGTTGTGTCAGGTCGTTCAGAATTGTTCTGAGGAATAGGAAACGCTGCATTACAAAGCATTAAAAACCTAACCTTTCGACGACTTAACAGGAAATGAGCCTCGGCGGCTACCAGATAGTGCGCAAGGCTGGCGACCAGGAGACCGTGTTCAAGTTCCATCGCACCGTAAAGCTGGAGCCGGGCGGCGTGGCCACTGTGTGGTCTGCCGACACGGGCGCTGACCACGACCCGCCCAAGGACATCGTCATGAAGGGTCAGAAGTGGTTCGTGGCCGACGCCTTCACCACCACGCTGCTCAACAACGACCAGGAGGTGGGTACCAAAATTGCGCCTTAGATAACGAAACATATATCGAAATAGATGAAGCAAGTGTAGTGTATATAATAGATTATGATAAGGACAACCTGGGGGCCAATCGCCTAACGATGTTGCTATGGCTATCGATATCCCATACGATTTCATTTTGTTATTTCTGACCGCCGAAAAATGACAAGCGCTCTTTTTTTCTTTGCATTAGTAATAACAATATTAAAAAAAATGCGTAAGGTATTTGATAACCTTCGCCGGTCGGAAATATTATAAATAAATAAATATTTCCAACATTCACACCAATTAGCCTAGCCCCAAAGTAAGCACTGTAAAGCTTGTGTTATGGGATGCTAGGGTACCAGATAGAATACATATATTAGTACCGTAAGTGAGGGTTACTTTAGCTCGGGCGGGTAACTTTGTCTCAAATCAGAAAAAAAATTAAACTTGCCGCCCCATCGGTATCTCTTGGGTGACCTTAATAATTCCAGTTGAAAATCACAGATAGCCATATAGGCGCGTAGTGTGGTATTGTTTTACCGACATCGTTCCTCAAGTTGTCATTGTAACGCGGGATTTTTTGTAACTGAAATAGTTCGCAAGTTCATGCGCAAACTTTCTTAAAACTGTGGTTTTCGGTAAGCTTACTAATTTTTATTTAACTAAATTATTTTTGGGCAAAAACATCCATTTGTGTATTCAGTATGCTAATGGTGATCTGTTATAAGGGTTACTTAACCCATGGCTTAAAATGTCAAACGATACAATGTCCATGTGACGCACTCTAATGTTCCTTGTGTTTGGCACGAAATGTATCGAGTTAGATTTTTCGATAAGCTTCTGTGAGGTTGTCAACACTACAGTAAAGTTCTCACGTCCACTTAACCGAAATAGCGTATATTTTAAAAATCCCACTAATTCTTCAGTTGCGGAGACGATTGTAACACAAAGTCACACCAATTTTATTTCACACTGTGAACGAATTTTAAAATAATTAATATAAGACACCAACCACACTCGATGAAATCGCGCCAAATACTCCCGGCTTCACTATTGATTTGAAAATTTGTATGCCTGTGATGGTGGAAATTCACATGGTTATTGAATGTTTGCGTGTTTCATTTGGCACGTAATAACCGTAGTACCGTGGAAGTGTGATTTTGATTAATGTTGTATGGTTCCAATCAGGAGGTGGCGGTGTCGGAGCGGCAACGGCGGCAAGTGAGCACCAGCGCGCAGAGACATCGCGAACTGGCGCACAAGTACCCGCGCCGTGAACAGGTATAACGACGCCTCATAATCATAATCATTTATTCAGTTTAGGCTGTTACCAAGCACTCATGAATGTCTAGAATCTACCCCATCGGTTCGCAAATCTACGGCGGGAACCTTGTACTGAGAATAACCGGCAAGAAACTCAGCAAGGGCTGTTTTTTCTATTCCTGTTTTATTATTTACAGAGTCGTCAAGTTGAAAAATGACTTCAGAGATGATTCATAAGGTCACCTTTCATTACATAATATAAAACTATACATTAATTGTTCAACTGCATATTGTTTGCTGTGTCATACAGTATAAATACAAATAGTGTTATTTATATTAGGTGTAACTAGACATTTTTATCTTAAATATCAAAGTAGTTACGGCAGACTTATCTCCGCTGGCAGAACCCATTCACGAGCATGACGCATGAACCACAGCCATCGTTCGCTCAACCATATTTTAGGGAACGTAACGATTCGCCTCTGTGTGCCGATTCTGCTATGCTGATGTTAAAATCATGTCTCAATTGTGGTTACATGGTATCAATTTTTTGACATTGTTCTTGTTACAAAAACATAAAAAAAAGGTTAAAGATAATATGTAATTACAAATAAGAAAGCAGATGTATTTGTAATTTTTAACAGACTTCCAAAAAAATATGTTCTCAATTTGATCTTTAATATAAAGTGAAAATTTCCAACCAGTAGCGTATTCCGTATTACACTAGAAATGGAAAAATAAAATATTTTTTAATAAAGAATGGAACCGAATTTAAAAAAACTTAAAATGAAAAAATAAGATTTACCAAATGATATATTTGAAGTCGATAACATTTTCATGATCTCCCTGCTAAACACATGGCTTGGTATCGACTTCAAATATATCAGTTGGTAAGTCTTATTTTTAAATTAAGATTTTTTTGAAGTCTATTCTATTTTTTATTAAAAATTATTTTATTTTTCCTTATTTAATTTTATTTTTCCTTTATTAAGATTTTTTTGAAGTCTATTCTATTTTTTATTAAAAATTATTTTATTTTTCCTTTTGTTATAGTAAAAATAACTATGCAAAATCAAAACTCCTGAAATATCATTGAAACACAATTATTATCATATCATAGCAGAATCAACACCCTATTTATATCTACATATATGTAGATATAATAAAACGTTTGAAAAAAAAGTTTTTGCAATCACAAACCATATTCAGAATTAAAAAAAATATATTAATTATTTGAGCCAATTTTCCCCAAAGACTAAGAAAAAATACCATTTTACAACTTATTAAATGATATAAATTATTCGCAGTTGGGAGAGATACGGGAGGGCGAGGAGAATTGTCGCATCATGTAACGCGACCACCACTGAGCTCACGCATCCTTCGACTGCTGCTGTTCTGTGCCCTATGGGCATCTTCATCAACTCTCGAATCATTAAAATATCGGACGCAATTCTATAAGCGGCTAACCGCACCTATGTACGTTTAATAGATTTTTGTGTTCAAATATAATTTATAGATAAGATTTGTAATAGTCATTTGGACTTGAATTGTGTAATGCCTCAATTGGTACAAGGTAAAACTTTTTTGTAGTAACTCACTTACGTGAAGCACATGTGCGTAGTTCAGACTACATGAAAGGCACACAGAATAGAAATCGTAGTTATTATGTTGAGCGAAAAAATTAGCTTTTCACTGCCTTAATATGGCCTTCTCTATTACAAAAATATTTGTGAACAAAGTACAAACAAGCTCGTTCACGCTTTTTGTGGGTAAGTATAGATTCTATGAATGTTTTGTTATTTTCAATCCCCACCCTCACAATGCACTAAATAATAAGTAGTTTTTATTAGCAATAATTTTATTAAAGTATTCATCAGATAACAGAGATAAAGTAGATGAGATCTACTAATTATGATCATAACATTATCTTTAGTGACCCGACTAGAAAGATCATGTATTAGGTTAAGTTTTGTTTGACATTACTTTGGTCAAATTTTAGAATAAGTTTCAGTTTTCATAGTACTTTTGCTATTACTACTTCAGATAAAAACAGGTGCAAGTCTCAAATAAAAGGCTCTCATATTTTAAGATTATAAATCTGAATTCTTTGTGTAATAATGATATTGATAATAATGTTTCTTTTTAAAAATCTTCCTTCCCATTTAGTTTTGATCATAGAGAATTTAATCTGATTAATTATCTTTTATTTTTGGTTTATGAGAAATCATGAGACCTTTTTAATTTGGACAAAGTTTATTATCTTCCATGAGCAAAATAATTTTTATTACAAAATAAAATTATATTTAGGTTTTATTTGAAATTTTATTTAAATCTCCTCATCTATTTTTCCCAATTTCCTTGATTCTTTGAGATAATCGAAACTCCCAGTTTCGGAGATCTAGGCCACGTTTATCTTTTAACGAAATAAATTTATGTTAATTATTACTTGAATCTGATATTAGGGCTCCAGGGCAAATATTGCATTTGATTTTTTTAATAAGGACATGAACCACATTGCCTGCTATGCAGGTCTTTTCAGATGGCTCTTTTAAAGAGCCATCTGAAAAGACCCTCTTTACAATCTCTTCCTACTGTGTGGACAAGTTAATTCTCTCTATATTCCAGTCAAAATAGACAAAAATAAGTCATAACTTAGGGATAATTTGCATAGAGCTGAAAATTGGCAGAGACGTTAAATACATCATTATAAATAAAATGTCTAAAATCTCCTTCGATCCTACTTCTGCAAAAAAATATTCAAGGTCAAACTTACAAAATTATGGTTCTTTCCATTTTTCTCGAAAACAGTAAGTTTTATCGTGAAAATAGATCTGACAAAAGTTGAAGATCATACAATTCTCTACAAAAGTGGTCCAGTCACTTTTTCTCTTTCTTCTTCTTCTTCAGTCTTTTACAAAAAATAGGATTAAGCAGTTTTTCTGCAGCAGGCGGGAGTAGAGTTCGAATTGGCTCCAAATAATTATCTACTAATTTCCTTCTGGGTCCAGATCATTACCTAGCCACACTTGAACTTGATAATACACACCATGGACTTATAAAAAAAGGCGGACAGAGTCCCTGTAAACAATAAACTGTGTCGCTCAGAGTCGGCCAGGTCGCTGTACGTACAAGCCGGCACGCACACATTCACACAATAGTCAGCCACTTAGTGTTGGGTAGGACACGACTTCAAAAAGAGTTTGTAAGAGTAGCCTCTTTTTTGTACTGAGCCAGTACAATGTCCCACTTCAAATGAGGGGAGGCGTAATGAAGCTCTGCAATACATTTGAAGGGACGAGTACAAATATGACATTGAGGTGTACAGAAGCTCGACATTACGTTTGTGTGCACGAATAGCACCTGGAGCGTAAGTTCTGAACGCAACCCTGGGCTGCGTTCAATGCCTACGCTCTGAGTGCAACTTTTACCCTGACGTTTAAATTTTGACATAAAATGTATGAAGCTAATGTCAACTTAGATATTTGTTGCACCTAGAGCGTAGGTTTTGAACGCAACCCAGTGCGAGTGACAAGGACTAGGAAGGAGAGATAGAGATACAGATGGATAGTGCGTAGAGGACTTAAATGAAATGTCATGCCTCGCTCTCTCTCAGACTTACGAAGAGTGAGTGAGTAACGAGACGCGACTATCGCGACATTTAATGTGAAGTAGTACATTTTGAAATTTTGAGCCGCTCTTACATTTTGACGTCATGTCCGGGACAAATGTACCGCCTCTTGTAAGTCCTACTCAACACTACAGCCACTACGCGTGCAAACGTCAAAGCAGCCGACACGTTACGTGGAGATATAAAATAAGCTAAACAAGATATCTTGCTTGTAAAAACCGTAGTGACCGAAAGAAAAAAAATCCAGGAATCACGTTTCATAGGTAAATGAATAATTGAATCGCTTTTTTCTAGTTTTTAGAAATCGAAATCAATTTTAATTCTAAGGACAAAATGATTAGCCTAAAGCCCAGTGTTGCCAATGTTCATGTAACCATATTACCTAAAATATGGGAAATTGGGTTGACATTAACTTCAATCTATTATTTATTATTCTTTTTTAACAGATTTCCTAAAGAAAATGTAGTATGGAGAAATTACTGGAAAATGAATGATTTCCAAACAAATATGCAGTAGTGTCATTTTTAGTCTTCATTTTGAAGCTCAAGACTTATATACAACTAAAGGAGGACTCCGGCGTGTTATTACGTATGCATTACCTCAAAAAGTTGATTAAAATTTTTAACCGACTTCGAAAAGAAAGCGGTTCGCAATGCGTCATATTTGTTTTTTTATTGTTGTTCGCGCAGATCTCCGAGATTCGTGGACCGTTTATGATGATTCTTTTATGTTTTAATCAGTTTACTAGCGAGATGGCTGCATATTAATTTACTGGAGATCTGATGAGTACTTTCGGAGGAAAACAATGGAACTCCTCAATTACAAACAGTACTCAATGGGTGTTAGTTTATTTTAAGAAATATGAAAGAGAATGCAGGCCAGGCCATCTATATTTAGTTGATTTACCCAATATTGATAAAATTCGATACATTCTAGAATTTCTAATGAGTCCCGACTGTTAAAGTAACTTTGTTCCTTATTAAACAGAATTCTAGACTACTGGACTAGTTTTTTTCTTTTAGTACATTTTTTTTTATTTTCGACATTTTAATTTCATTATTTTTTAATTACACGAGTTGTATATTTTCTAAATATTCTTTTAAAACCCTTCACTTTGATACCTCGCTTGACGGGTTATAAAAATACTTATACTTTTTTTTCAACATATTTCATTTTGGCGCATAAAATCTGTTATTTTGATTTTTTGAAATTTTAATATACTGAGTGCCACTCACACAATCACGACAAATCAAATGACACCTCGCATGTCAAAATCCGTCAGTTCAGGCTGTAGGGCGTGCCAAATTATTGGACATACATACATACATGCACAATCAAAATATTTTCATGTTTTTACTGTGTTTTATTGGTAAAAAATTGGCTAACAATTGGCTAACCTAGCAACCCTACAATTCACTCACTCATCAATAGCAGCCGCCATTACGGTGCCTCAGTATTGTCTTAGCTGAAACTCTGTCCGCCTTTTTTTATACGTCCATGATACACACTATACAAGTGTTGACAGGCAGAAGCAGATGTTGGAGGCAGACAATACCACTGTACTGTTCCATGCAGATTTATATCCCATAGTAGGCCTCAGAAAGATATTATAACAGTTATTGTGGTACTTAGCTTTAGCAGCAACTAAGTTATACTCAATATGTAAAATATGAATTTTCTAATTATGAAACAGCGATATCTCACGAATGGTGAGTCGTGATAGGAAATGTGACTACACCATTTTTGTAGAGAATTGTATGTTCTACAAAATTTTGCCTGACCTACTTTCACGACAAAACTTACCGTTTTCGAGAAAAGTGGAAAACCATAATTTTGTACGTTTTGAGTTGAATTTTTTTTTGCATAAGTAGGATCGAAGGGGATTTTTGACATTTTTTATAATGATGTATTTAACGTCTGCCAATTTTCAGTTCTATGCGAATTATTCCTAAGTCAAATGTCTATTTTGACTGGACTATAGACAAACTTCTGCTGCTTTATATTATATTATACTAGCTGTGGCCTGCGGTGTTACCTGCGGTTTATTAGGGATATTTTCCCGCAGTTTAACGTAGCGTATGTGGTAATCTAGGGTGTCAGCTAACTCCATACCAAATTTTTGTTAAAAACGCTCCAGCCGTTTAGACGTGAAGAAGTAACAACAATACACACTCACCAACTTTCGCCTTTATAATATTAAGTATGATAAACATTCACAATCAGCTTTTATTTATTTCTAAAAGTTACTTTAATTCCATTGTTAGGTGCTAAAATTCAGTCGATAAAATCTATCGAAAATGTAAAATGTACGACGCAAGACAACACTAAAGTAGGTGCAATGACCTTGTACTGCGTCGCGCGCGTCATTCTTGCTCGATCGTACTACATTACGTGTTTTGAATGTCGTAGAAAGAATAGCGAGCGTACTTTGTCAGCAATGAATATTTTTGTGGAAATATATATGTGATTTTTCGTTTTATTTATTTATTTATATATTCTGTACACACAAAAATAATATAGGAGCAACTTAATTAAAGATAACATTTACAAGGGCACAACTTATTTCAATCTGAAATTTCTTACAGTAGGCCCTTAGAAGGAAAGAAAATAGGTAAAGGTAGTCAGCGTGTACACCGGAATATAAATACATGTTAATACACGTATTACATATACGTATAGGTTTATATATTATACAAGTACTTAAATAATGCATAAATACATACACATACGAATATAAAATTGATGACAATAGATATATAAATACATACATACGTATAATATGGACGACGAGAAGAGAAACAATGAGAAGATCAAGGGCAGAATTAAGGGCAAGAAGATAAATAGTGTTCCTTCAGATGTTTTTTGAACACTGAGACAGAACTAGAGTCTCTAATTTCTGCTGGCAGCGAATTCCACAGACGGACGGCATGTACTGAGAAGGAATAGGATGCGAAACTAGTGTTATGGGTGGGACATTTTAGAAGGGATTTGAGGTGGGATCTGCAAGGATCTGTTGAAGGGTGAATGAAGGAAAACCGTTCACGGAGGTAAGGTGGATTATAGAGGATGTTGAAAAGGAGACAAAGGATTCTAACATTCCTGCGCAGACGAATGGGAAGCCACTTGAGTTCTTTACGAAAACTAGAAACATGGTCATACTTGCGTAGACCAAAGATGAAGCCGATAGCGAGGTTCTGCAGGCGCTCAAGTTTGTTCAGTAAGGTATCTGTGGCATCTAAGAAGCAAGCATCGGCATAATCGAGAAGCGGCAAAATGAGTGATTGAGAGAGTGAAATTTTGGAATACAATGGCAAAAAATATTGAAGGTATTTAAGGGAATGGATCGTGTAGTAAATTTTCACACTGACGTTAGCGACATGGGCCGTCTAGGACAGATTGGAGTCCATTGTGACACCAAGATTTTTAATATTGTCACTGTATGGAATGTCGCTTCCATCAAATGACAATGATGGCAAGTGAGGAATATTTGCAGCGTTACACATGTACCTGCTCCCTACGATTATGG